TTATCCCTCTCTTCCGTCGCCCAGTCGTAGAATTCGAGCAAATTGGTGAGACAATTTCGACGCCTCCTAAAGCCGTGTTGAGAGTCCCGAATGAGCGCGTTTCCTTCTAGGAAATCCAAGAGATGGTCCCTTAGTATGCTCTCCATGATCTTCCCTGGGATACTCGTGAGACTTACCGGCCTGTAATTGCCACATATGCCGCATAAGCAGAATAATAATATGTCGTGATTGCAGAGAAAGAAAAACTGGCTGGAAAAAATCATTCCACGGGTCCATCCCGCACGACTCGGACTTTATAGGTATGGTGTTTCCCTCTCAAGTTAGGATTGCGGGTCTCATGGAGTCAGACGTCAACTTTCTTCTCTCCGTTCCCGATTTCAGAATTCCCCTGAGTCTCGTTGGGTTGGGTTGCCTCTTTCGTCGGACGTTTCCGAGTATTCCAATACCTTCCCTGTGTCGACTGTGGAGAAAATATCAAATACCGCTCGAAAAGTACAGGGGACTCGTGCCAGTCGCATATAACTCGCTTTGATCTGTCGCCATTTCGCTTCTTGGTCAGGAAACCTCGATTTTTCGATATCTCGCCCGACATCCGGCAGATGGTGCGACCCTCGGCAGATGGTCTGATGGTCAACGGGTTCGCGGAGGACATCGATTCCAGATGCATAACTTCGACGGGAGATGTCTCTCGTGTCACTTTGGGTGGCGCTGACGCACACGGCCACAAGAAACAAGACGCAGCTTGCTTTCGCTGTGTGTGTGGATGTGGAGAGATCGATATCGCTGTGCGTTCTAGGACGTTCACGAATATAAAAAAAGTACCTTTAAAAATTTCGGAAACTTGGGTGAAAATCAGAATAAAATAATTATAAATAAAATTAGAATAAAAGACCGTGAGGGAGCACGCCCTCGCCCCCACATATCGATTTCAGGAAACGATTCCAGATTTCAAAATCGCCGAAGATTTGGAGCTCAAAGTAAGAATACTATTCCTCAGCGGAGTTTTGGAAACACGATCCCACGCGATTCTTACTTCGTTGAAAGGCCCGTCGCGTTGCACATCGGCTCTATTTTTGGCCGTGCAGTTTATCCGGGTTCCCCGGCGTGCGTCATGAGGCTCATCGATTCATCGTTGGAGAGTAAAAGCCATCGTCGATATCATACCGATCGCACAATTTAGCGCGAGAAGCTGACAATTACCCCGCAAGGTCTTAAGAAATTTTTGCCCGCCTAATTCCCGCAAATTACGGGTTTCCGTCGGGTCGTTCCATCGGAATCCTTTTCGGCGCGTTTTAAATATGCATGTCGGGTTCGAATCCGGTCCGTGAATTTTGCATGAACCTGATGAAATAGGCATGGAAGCGCAGTTTTATTTATTCTCTGATACGGATAGCCTCAAAAAAAAAAAACTCCATATCAATAAGGGAACACGGAAGCTCTTCCGATATTCCGAAAATAAAAAATCTCGGAAACGGCGAAGAGTTGAAGCGTTGGCAAAGTGATCGATAATGTGATTCGTTTGAAGGTGCTCGTTGGTATCCACGGATTTTTTTGTCGTTGCGATCTTTGAAAAATTTGAAGCGCTGAAAGGAAAAGTGGGCTATCTGCAAAAAAAATCCGATTAAACTCAGACACGGACCCTTTTCCCTTTCATCGAAGATCGCAGTTTTTTTTTGGGATTTGTGTAAGTGAAAGACTGGTCTATCCACGCACACCACTTCTCCTCACTTTAAAGAAAACGCTCGCTGGAATATTCGCTCATTCCTCGAGATTTCTATCAGCTGGACCATTTCCCCCTTTCGGCCTCCCAATGAAGCCGAACCCGAGCAAACGAGAGCCTCGCTCGGAAACGTTCGACCCGCCGCAAAGCCTGAAGAGGATGCACCGCGCGAAGGCTCTCGGCTGGATGCTCACCTGCTTCGCGAGTGCCTCAACGTCTCGCCTCTGACGCATCAACTTCCCGCGGAAGGTTGAGCTTGAGAATATCGCACACAATTCCGTAGCTTATTTTGTTATTAAATCGACATCCTCAAAAAATTCAAAACTTTGGGAGAAATGGAACTCCGAGGAACACCGTGTTAACCCTCGGAACGCCAAGATCGGGTCAAAATGACCCGATGGCCAGTCCTCCAAGGTTCCATTGGATCATTTCTTTTTTTGGTATCTACTTGGGAAATAAATACGTAAATATCTTAAAAAGGTATGTGCAGCTTCTATTCTGAACAAAAACCTCATTCGTTACGAGAAATATATATGGGTCAAAAATGACCCGATCTTGGCGTTTCACGGGATGCAAATGATCTTGGCGTTCCAAGGGTTAATTATGAGCGACCCAAATTAATCGTGTTAATTAGGAGTGACACGTGCTAACGACGGCATCAATTTAGGTCGATGTAGGGGTCAATGAAACCTGATTATTAAGTTGCATACCGCGCATACGCCTGGGACGAGTCCACAAGTTTTTCTTGGGCGATAAAATTTCACTGTGACGTCATCGACCCGTTGCAATATCGAGCCGATGTTGCAATGTCCTTCAACATTGACTCGACATGATTGATGCTGACGCTTCGATGCTCTTACGGACCGGGCTCGTTTCGAAGCAAACTTTGGCAGGAATCCGGGAATTGCAGGAATTCCCGGATTTTTCCTTCTTTCTGTGTCTCAATTATTCCGTCCTCGAAAGAAATTGACGCGCGGCCGTGTAAGGCGAATCATTCATGTGCATCATTATAGTCCCATTTTCGGTGAATAGACGGGGTCATTATTATGAAGTGGGCCATCCAGAGGACCGAGACGCATATTCGTGTCAATAATATATATATATACAGTATATAGGGTCCACGAACCCGCGTCCACACCTGCGCCTCGAGGGAACAAAACCGGAGCGACATTCGTCAACGCGCACATTTTTCCCTCCCCCTCGAGGTTATAAGCAGAAAACTCATCGCGGTCGTCGTGTTCGAATGAGTTCATCTACAGCATTTCGGCAGTTCGTGATCTCGGTAGAGTGAAATACAGATTGATTCAGGTACGTATCATTTTCACATTACTTTTTTCCCCATTCCGTCACGCAATGTCACGAACGCACGAGCGCACGGCCTTGAGTTTCCGCCGACTTCGTTCCAATGCAGCGCATCGACGACAATCTTCTCGGGAGTGAGAAAAATGCAAACGCCCGGTCTGAGTTTCGTGCTCGGGAAGACTTGCTCGGAATTTTGGCATCACACGTCTATTCCAGGCATTCACCAAGCCCGCACCTACGCGAACCCCATCCGCAAATTCGTGAGTCACCCGACAAAAAAAATAAAATCTGAAAAAAAAGTCCGATCCTCGAACCCACCGTTTCAGTTCTGGCTGCTCCTCTTCCTCGCCGGCGGCGGCGCGACCATCTGGGCCGTGGAGGAGCTGGTGCAAGAATACCTCACGTACCCGGTCACGACCTTCGTGTCCCTCACGCACGCGAACACGCTCATGTTCCCCGCCGTCTCCGTCTGCAACACGAACCCCGTGCGTTGCGGGAAGCTCGCGATGTTCCGCGACGACCTCCAGTCGCTCTGGACGAGCAGCGGGTGCCCGGTCAGAATCTCGGCCAAGAAAATCGCCTGGATGAATGATTCCGACTTCGACGGCAAGGGATTCAAAGACGCTTTCGTCAGGTATTAATTATAATTAATTAATAATAGTTAATGAAAAGCTGATAGATTCGATTCGGGTGAACCTTAAGTATAGAAATTAAGGAAATTCCTGAACAATGCGCAGGAATCTCGAGCAGTTCGCATGGAAGTGCATGAAAGTTTTGGGGCATCTAATCGCGTTCAGCTCACAAGTAGTTCGTGGTGAAGGAGAGGAGACGGGAATCGGGGCACTCGCGAAGCAGGCGAGCAACCGGCCGATTCGATCAATGGTGCCGCCTCTGTAGCCGCCTCATTAGCCCCTTACGTCTTACGTTTTTTTTGCAAATTAACGTCATATTTTCGAACGAAACTCTCATTCACATATGAAGTTTTAGAATTATGTTCAGCCTTCATCATTCAGACCATGTCGAATTTCATGCCACAATTTACCTTTTGTTTGGGAAATTTTTTTCGAACAGCAAATCCCACAGTAGAAACTGACATTACGAACGATAACGCTTAACCAATAAATACTTTTAAACTGGACTCCTCTTATTTTGCCCGGAAAAAGTACTAAGCCTAACACTGCGCCAAACTTCTTCATTGAGCTCTTTATAGTTCTCAAGATTTACAAAAATACACATCCAAAGGGGTAAAATCCAATATTTCTGCTTTTGGTAGGAAAATGAGTCGTCCTGGGGAATAAAATCCTTGCAGGTGCTCCGAACGTTGTGAAATTCGAGTAGAAAAATGGGTGGCAAGACTCTTGGAGACCAGTAAATTTCAGTACACATAGCAGATTTGATGGCCTTTCAACTTCTGGCAATGACATCAGGTACCTCGAGGAGACCCCGGAAGACCCCGACGAAATCATCTTGGCCGTGGCGGACCAGAACTCCGAAGCATTCGCAGCATCTCCGCTCCTCGAATACACTTTCAACGACATTTCCCTGCTCCTGTCGGCCTTGAACGCCCTCATCACCGCCAGTCCGACCGACTTCAAAGCGAGAAGGGGGGAGGCGCTGTTCCCCAAGCTCGTCGCGAACCTCAGCCCGCGGATCCCGCTTCCCTGGGGATCCCCGCCGCCTCATGGTGAGGCTTTGCATTACGAGTGGAGTCAAGTAATTTATAATATTAATGTTTTTTTACCCGGCATGATCAGAAACATTACCTCAAGGAAGTACCCAGCCAGCTAGTGGGGAAAAAAAGGCATCTGGCCTTAAGAGCATGAGAGCAATCCAAGCAAAGGTAAGAGAGACAAGAGCGATCCAAGCAAAACCCTCCTCGACTAATTGCTGCAAATTCTTTCCAAGACTTGTTTCACGTATTTCCTTGTCAATGAAAGGAGAGAGAGAAGGGCTACCACACTTGCTAAGGAATTAGGACTCACAATCACATTGCAATTTTCCGACAGGTGGAAGCAGCTCTCAACTGCCGCCTTCGACTGCTCCAAACTCGACCACGCCGTCAACCCGAAGCTTACCCTCGACGACCCAGGTTTCACCTTTAAAATGCTTACAGCCAACCAACTCCTGTCTCGAATATCCAATTTATTATTATTTTATTTACTCGTGTGAATAGCAATACGCGCCGCTGCCGGTCGAACTCAACCTGATGCCGATGAACGTCGGTGACGCATATCTCGGGAAAATGGGTTCAGGCTTCATGTCCGCGAATGCAACCGCAGATTTCAAGACGGTGAGCATTCCTTAAGCATGCTTAACCCTCGGAATAGAGGCAAAAAATCGCGAATGACCGATCGGTTGACCGCAGTCGATGGCGTTCATGACGGCCATGCGAAACCTCTCGATGGACATGCTCTTCAGAATCACCAATTCCTGGAATGAACTCGTCGTGGACTGCACTTACCAAGGACAAAACTGCACCGAAGAGAAGTGAGTCGGAAATTTAATTTTTAATTTTTCTGTTTTTACATTTTGCCATGTTTTTGTATTTTGCTTTGTTTTTTTTTTTTCCTTGATTGTTTATTTATTTCCTTATTTATTTACGTGCGTAACCGCACTTGCCGCGAGCGAAAAAACGACTCGACGAGATACCGATCCTCCTAGGTATTTCGCCCCCACGGTGAACGCCATGTACGGCGTCTGCTACATGTTCAACACCGAGTTCAACACGAAAGACGAAATGGCCGGGAAGCGGATCTCGGGCCTCACGGGAAGCTCCTACGGTGAGGATCCGGTTTCTCCCTCCGATATTTAAATTACTTTTAAATTACTGGAGCCGATACTGATCACGATCCTTGTTGAAACATCTCATAGAAATCCTATTGGAAACACTGGGAAGCCAAGGGTGAAGTGACAATATCTGGTGACTGACAATTTCAATTTAAAATGGAGATTAGAGGCGTCAAAAGCTTCGGAATGAGCATGGATTTTGATTGCCAAAAATCTATGTCAATGAGGAACTAGGAAATTGTCACAAGACAAAACCTTGGATATGGTTCGTATTGCTGAGGCGCACATTATGACGGTTTATCATTTTGGTCGCTTCTATTTCAGAGAAAGTGATGGGGGGAGGAAGAATAACTAGGTATGAAAAGTTCTTAAAACTTGCTAGGTCCACGCTTGACCTTGAAAAAATGTACACGTAAATCGTGAACAAGTGAGATGAGGAAAACTTTATATTTATTGTGGGGTCGCCCAAGGAGTAGATTCTTCACAGATTCTGGGCTCCAGAATGAAATCCCGAGGAGTTTTCCACTCAATTTCGCCACCTCCGTCTGAAAGAGGTACCCGAAGTACCCAAAGTACCCAAGGTACTTTTTGTGAGAGAAGCAGCCACGGCAAGAAGCATTTTAGCTGTCGGTCCCAGCCTCGCGAGTCCCAACCACAATCTGTGAAATACCGAACTTGTTTGCCGGGAGATGCTTCTCGTGTGAACTGAGGCCGAACGAATGGCCTTAAATGCCCTTTGACCCTTTGATTGGTACTTCCGTATGGATGCGTGTAAAACGAATTGCCTTTCAGGGAAAAATCCTGTTAAAATCTCAGGACGGACGAAGCATGTGCTAGAAATTACTTTAAATACATTTTGGATTAAATAAACATTACTTTAATGAAAAAAAAATTAAATGTAATTGACCTTCGGAGTTGAGAGAAAAAAAACTCACACCACGGTGGTTGTGTCGGAAATAACTCGCGAATCGAAGAGTTAAGGACTCCACTCAAGGTGATGATACCCACGACCTAAGCTTAACTAAGCCTAAAAGCGTAGCTTTTCCTCCCCTCTGTTACTTTCTCTCAGAGGTTTATTAGCAACCACTCCTCAGCGCTGCCCTCGCTAAACAGGATGTAATTGATTTAATTGGTTTTGGTTGCGTGAATGCTCCACAAAATAGGAGTCGCGTAGGCCTATACTTCACGAATGAGAGATTTTCGCTTCGTCTTTCGCCCTTTCTCTGAGCGGTGCCATGGTTGCCAAATAGCATTAAGACTTGTATGTGGTTTTGGCTGCTTTTTTTTTCACCCGAAGGATCCGGTAAAGTTAGACTCAGCACATGCGCCTCTATTGCATGTCTTCGGCTAAATCCTGACTTTTTCACGCGCGAGAAGAGTGAGTGGTAAGTCGAGCTGATCGGCTCGATAAACCTGTCGATGGAACCCCACATTCGAGAATTTAGACAATAGAATGCATGTAAGGTCACGTCCGATGCGAGAACTCTGCATGATAGAGAAACTTCGCAGGGCTGTCACTTCAACTGTACCTGGACCAAGACGATTACATGTCGAACGTTGTCTCGGAGAGCGCCGGAATCCGATTGGCCGTCCACGCCAACAACGAACTCCCGAGCCCCGACGAGCAGGGACTCTACCTCCAACCGAACACTCACACGTCGGTTGCGCTACAGGCGGTGAGGATGCTTGTGATTGGAGGATGGATGCGATCGAAGGATGAGTGTGATTGGAGGGCTGGGAGGGTGTGGCGTGTCATGCAGGTGCAGATCTATCGGCTGCCGGAGCCGTACCAGCCCAGTTGCTTCTCTTCGTGGAATGAGACGGACTACGTTCCGCGTTATCCGTTCAACAGGGAGATTCCGATCGGATACAATGTGGTGGTGAGTCGAGAAGGGTTTCACGTCGAAGGGGGGGGGGGGGGGGGGTTGAAAAGGAGACAGACGGTTTGCAGGGATTGAATCGCAAAATTTTTCGCTGAGTTCGACATAGAATATGAAATACTCAGGAGATGGTAAGGTTCATATGTTATACCTTTTGTATCATGGGGAAACTTAATCGTTTGCCTGAGAGGTTGGCGCGTTTCTCCGCCAAAATTGAAATTACTAAAGAGGTATGACGAATTTAGTATTAATTTGTCGGCTTAAACTTGAAATGGCCAGAGCAGCGTGACAATGCGGAGAACGATCCTCAACAGCTATGGGTACCTGATACCCAGCTCGTGCTAAAGAACATGAGGGATGGAGGAGTTACGAAGCAGTCATAGGCTAGATGACGCAGAATATCTGCGTTTCACCTTTAGTCGGCATAAGCAGGAAAGCAGCGTTGTTATCGGATGGAAATCAGCACAGAAAAGTAGAAACACACAAGGAAAGGTATAAATGTGAGACAAACGTATTGTGTCAGTCGGGTCCCAATGTGTACCAATGTACATACCTTTGTATACATGTGGTCCAGACATTCGCATCGGTTCGTTCCCAACGCGACTCAAAAGTACACAGTAGATGGCGCTAGTGTTCCCTCCGTAACGTCCGAACTCAAGTCAGGCAACATCGGACCTTGAAGTAGCTTTTCTTCCTTCGCTTGTCCTCTTCTCATCTTGAGACTTATGGCCCAATATGAGGTGGAGGGATAATTATGATGCTTACATGTGAACAAACGTTTCCAGAAACTTTAAAATGCTGGGGTATTGCTTGGGAACAGAGAAGTGTAAACAGGCAATTATAAACTTTTAAGCTGCTCTAAAAAATGTCTTTCCTGGATTGTGTTTGGAGATCTCTATCATCTGTGAAGGTTTGGGGATATCACCGATCGGGACAATATATATTCTGTCGTAATAATGTTCATCGTGAGGTCCCTGGTCGTTGGCAATTAAGTGTCACATGCACGTTTTCCAAACGTCCGAGAGTCCGAAACGGCATACACGTGGGGCTCTCGAAAGTAGACCCCTACCGTTCCTCTTCAGAAGACACAGGAAGGGTACACATTTGCACCTATTCAAAGATTGTTTTTGCTTCTGTACCTCTTCAACGAACGTATTTTACAACATACGTTTGTACGTCATAACGTACAAAATATGGACCGCTGTGCGTTTCTGCTTTGCTGTATGGGCAGACTATCCAATATTCGAAAACAAATTTTCCAACCATTTGAAACGGTATCGACTATCGGTTTCATTTTTTTTTCTCTCAAGTTTGGGGCATCCGACGCAGCAACAGCAAACCTGCCATATTGATGACTCCGCGATGCTTTTGAATTTCGACAAACTGCGCAATAAAGAAATGGATCAGCTGTCATTTGATGCATAACATCTTGCTATACGATCCCTGCCGAATCCCCCTTCTTTTGGTTACCCCATATGAATTCTGCTGGCTTCGTTGCAAATTGCCAATTACAGCTCACTATCATAGTGCGTATTTAAACTTATTTTTCCCAGTCGCTGAGCTCCGAATAGTGTCGCGTTTTTTGCGCTGAGTACCGATACAACCTTATTTACATGCATCCACCCAGAAACACAATTTCAAATACGATGTAGTTTCAGTGTTTCAAAAATTGATAGTATCTGTAAAAAAAAAAAAAACTTTCGTATATTGGATACAACAGTTTCCAATCCAAGGCCAGTTCGTGCCCATTCCACTATCAAAAACACATGCTACCCTTAATTCTAAGCATTAGATGGTAGCCGCCAGGAATGGAACAGTGACGCGCGTATTCCCCCGCACGAATTGCAGCAATGCCTCCGCCTGTGCGAGATCATCATGGCAGAATCCATCTGCCAATGTCGGAACCCTCTCCATACGGATTCCTTTCAGATGCACAACGGGACGAACTTCACCACCCGTCTCTGTGTCTTCTCCGCTGGAAGTAAGTAGAGGCATTCGTCAGCGGGGGGTGGGGGGTAAGGGGGCAAGGAGGGGGGGGGGGGGGGGGGTGAGACCTGACAGAAGCGCGCTCTTTTCCTTTTCAGGTGAGGATCTGCATTGTTTGGGGGTCGTGAGGTTCATGCTACAGATGGGGAATGCCTCGTGTCCTTGCCATTCTCCTTGCCAGTTAGTGCGTTGTATCGTTTCGCGACTGGAGGTTGGAGGGTTCACGTTTCGATAGATTCACCGAATTTTTTTATGGCATTCCGCAGGGAGACGTCCTACGAGATCTCTGTCTCCAGCGCCTCGTGGCCTGCCACCAATTACCTCGTGAGTTAAAAATAATAATCTTCAAATTTTTGTGCAAGAAAGCTTCAGAGCTGGCGAACATTTTTTCTTTGAAATGACCTCCCGGCGAAAGACGGGTTCCTTGCGAGCAAATCACAAGCGACGCATTTCTCTTCGTAGAAAAGCTTGCTGTGGAGTATGGGGGGCTCGATGGGTATAGATGTCCCTCCGAATAAGGATTCCATCTCCCCCGAAAAAATCAGCCAGTTCCTCAACATGGTTCAGGATGACCTCGTCAAGGTGGACGTCTATTTCCAGAGTCTTAACCTCAACGTCATCGAGCAACAGCCCAAACGAGACGTATGCTCCTTTGCCTTTTCTTCATTTTAAGTAAATTTTTTTCATTCTAAGTAAATGAGGAAGATGCTGATCGAGCTTTCTCGAATCCGTGCAACAGCTCAAGTCTCTCATTTCGGATCTGGGGGGGATCCTCGGTGTCTACCTGGGTCTCTGCATCATCGTCCTCATCGAGATCTTCGAATTCCTCTTCCTCCTCGTCTACAACGCCGCCGCGTATTTCTGCTGCCCGTCGAGCGCTATCAGGCCGGTCGCAGTCGAAAATCCGAAAGCGAGACGCGAAGTCCTGTCCAAGCGATCCAGGTCGCTTTCTCCTCGACCGAACCTGCAACTCCAGCCCTACACTAAATATTCGCCTTCGTTCAAGGAGTTGGCTGCCGTACCGGTCACCATGCCTCAGGAGTACATGAATCCAAGGAAATCTTATGAGAATCCATTTACCTTTTGAACACGTATATTCTCTCGGCAATCGACGATTGGTAATGCGATAGGTGAATTTTCTTATCGTCAAAATGTCTCGTCCTGCGAAGCACCTTCACCCGGCATTCTCTAGATGAAGTCAGGTCAACATTCAAAGATTTCAGTGGATAAATGTTAAAAAAAACAAACTGGTTTCGCTGGGACGGAATTTAAGATGGTGACAATCGCTCCCTCTTTGGTGAATTTACGCTGAGAATTCCATTCGCATTGTCCAAAAAGCCGCGAAAATGTTTATTCTCGGTTGGCAGTTCAACAGTATGTCAGCTTCATCATTCGATTATTCATTATTCGTCTTCATCCTAAGGAGCTAAAAAATTAAATCCATCCTAAGGTTCATTTACATTATCCTCATATTACCCGGTCAACTGATAACGACCTACCGAGGCAAACCAAGACTTTTGCGGAATTTGAACCTTTTTGTTGATTTTAGGTCTTCTATTTCCGGTTTCGGCGGCGATCACGAGAGCTTCGTTGAGCTTCGACGCAAGAGGTGTCCAAAAACGTGAATTTTGGCTTTCCTTGTTTTGGCGGAAAAGTCCCTGCTTTTCGAAGTCGAAGTAGATTAAGCGAGAAATCATGTTGTTCTGGGTCCAAAACTGAAGCTTTGAGACACACATTATATTGAGTTTACTGCATTGAAGCAAAAGATTTATTAAGCTTTCAGAGTCACATAACATTCAAGTAATGCTTGACCAAATTTGCAAAAAAATTGTTGCTGTGAAAATTGCACGAATGGGAAAAGATTACAAATCGCAAATCTGGACTTGGAACAAAATAATTCGCAGTGATATCTCTGAGGGTTTTTACTTCCATCTCTCCGAAGTTCTATTGCCACTTTCCCTGAATTTCACTCGCACAAATATCGCCTACATTAACGCGGCGATCGAGATCATTCGAGGCTGCGATAGTCATGTTGTACCGCTTAGTCGCTCCACTTACCCTGGTTAACTCTTGACGAGTTATTTGGGAATGCATGGGTTCGCGTGGAAGCCTGTTTTACCTGTATCTAACCGCATTTACATTACCAGAGGATTGGGTTACATGCTGGGTGAGAGAGTAAACCGGGTAATATGAGGGTAGTGTGAAAGGGGTCGAAGGATGAAGACAAAACACCGAGCAGCAGAATGACCCCATTGTTCTCATGCACAATCCTAGTCGGGAGCCAAGCCCAAACCACTCGGTGCAAACTTGTCATTTAAGCTGGAGGAGCTGCGAGAAGTGGCCAAAGGCCAGAAAGTGACCCGCGGGGAGCGACTTTTTTTTTAGCATTCACAGAATTATTTCACTTCGTTGCTCCGTTTTTACATGGCAGCCTACAAAAGTGGATATTAAGCTTTTGTTTTGCTACAAAAACGTACTTCAGGAATCTTGGATATTCTGAATGAGATTTCGTCTTCAAAGTCACATTTCCTATTCTTGGAGCAGGTGAAAATCCAACTGTTAAACTTTATCACTGATTCTGGGAAATTTCGATAGCCTTCTGGCTTTTCAGTATGGCGAAAGAGAAGCTCACGGCGTTACGTGCAAACATTTTTTTTTCAATTTTTATTTCATTATTTTATTTCATTGTTTGCAGGCAATTTTTGTCCCTCCCACCCTAGATACCGCGGCAATTCAGAAATGTGAATCAGACGCGTCGGCGAAAAGCTCCCATCTTAATCTGATGCTTCATAACGCCCACTGTAATAAAAAGAAAAAGCTAAGTTCATTTTTTTTTTATGAAGCGGGGAAAAATGTCTAAAATGTATTTATTGAAAGGTTGAAGTCTCTCCGTCATTTTGATGAAAACAAAAATAATTCCAACTTGAGAAAGAAACTCAGCTTTGCAGTGCTACAGAGATATTTCTCATTCGGCGCCAAAAATGCTCGTTTTCATGTCTTCTTCCCCAGCTGAGTGTTCTCGATCCATTGTAGCCATGCAATAGCCAATAGGGCAAAATTGGCAGGTACGTTTCGAATACAATGGCTGACGATGGATAAGAATCGTCAAGGAGTTTCACATATGTGATGGTTTGGACATCCGGTTCGGTAATTGGCGTAATTTCCGGATGCGCAGATATACCAATCATTAATTATTTTCTAAACGGATGTTCATGCCAGAAGAAAAATGCATCTTTCACAACGTAATTCCAAACATGGAAAAACCATCGCGAGGAAGGCTTGACAAAAATATTGAATAATTATGCGCTTAATTGCGAGTATACGATACTTCATCATTCAAATGCTGGCTGAGGTGCCCGTAACGGCATAGCCGTCGCTTCTACTTGCGCCTTTGGAATTCCCGCATTGTCAATTCCCATTGCCAGGAAAATTTCAATTCAAAGAGGCTTCAGACAAAAATGGGAACGCATGAACCCGCTGGGGTTCATCCTCTCCTGGATAATCCCTCATTTCGTGCTAAGAGACATCAAGTATAGTTTAGATATCATATTTAGCTAACTCTTTCAATACCTAATTAATTTCTAGCCGTTTTTCTAACAGTTTCTTTTTAACGTTAAAATGTTGATTGTCATCCAATATGCAAACAAACCTTTAGTAATTTTCATGGCAATATCAGCTTTAATTAGACCACTAATTGTTTTGCCACAATCTCAACAGGCTTGACAATGTCTGGATGGATCCTCTGCTTCCGGACTAGAGCCTCATGAACGGCTTTATGGGAGGAATATGCGAAATTAACTGTTTTCAGTCCCTGTGCCCAATCAGGCGCAGGATGAGGGAAAGGATTGAGATGAAATCATCGACCGAAGAACTTTCAATGATGTAAGCAGTGAATGGAGAAACATATTCGGAATTCTCGCTTTCGATTTTGGCCGGATAGGGACTGGGGTAGTCTGTGATTTTCCCATACTCCAAGAAAACCAAGACGGATTCGATTCATGCGCTCTAGAGAATGCTGCCTGAACAGACGGAACAGGATCGCGCACCTTAACGCTAGAAAGAAAAAATGTTTGGATTCGCTCAACTTGTAGATAATTCAATACCCTTGGTCATTCCCCTGTTCTCGGGTTCCTGAATTTTATGAGTTTGCCAATGGCAATGTCCACATTTGAAGACTGCCAATTAAATCCAAACGAAAATTTTTTCGAAAGGAAAAACCATTACGCGAAAATCACCGCTCTTTGAATTTCACTTGTGCACTGCCAGAAGTTATTGTAATACAGCAACTTTGTTCACATTTGTGGAAATGTATTCAGTGCAATAAAATCTACATTACTTTTGCAGTCAGTAGAAGTCGATATGGACAAGAGAGATGACTGTTGTATGCAAACAGTCCAGTGAATACGCACATGTAAACCCAACTTCTGGTCAAAATCCTCTGCAAGGGCTTTATCCTGTTTTGCGAGGACATAACAATGCCTAATAACCTATTTACGTCTGTTCTTCATCAGCCCATTCTTATTCACTTTGCAAGGTTTCAGTGGGATGCATGTATCAATGTGCAAGCAAGCCAAGGAATGCAGGCGAAAAAAAATTCTAGAACCAAATGCCTAGACTAGAACTCACAGGTTACTTGTCTCTTGGAAAAAAAAGACACCAGTATTGTGCAAGTTGGCCCACAGTTCCTAACAGAAATGAAAAAATTGTAAACCGTTGTTGTAAACAAAAAATTGTACACAGGTTATGTGATGAAATGCAACTTTATAGAAGAATGAACCAGGGGATATCACAAGTAAGTATGAGAGCATGGAAATAATCTATCATGATGGGAGAGGAAGAGTGTCCAACGAGAAAGGAGGAACAGGAGAGGTTGATGAAGTGGGCCCTGAGGGCAGCACATTCACCTGCATCCCTTTGCTCCAGTTATAAACTTGTCCCATGCTGAATGGCTCCAATCGAGGCAAGGCCATGCTGGATGGGCCACTGATTCCACCTGCAAAGTTAGCCATAGCTACACCTGGTTGCAATTAAATTAAGTAATGAGAACAAGGAACAGATTTAAAACTTGCCAGAAGAGGTGCCAGCAGGGATGTACTTGGAGAGGCGAATAGAGGGAAGGGGAAGGAAACCAGAAGTGAGTGGCATGACATCAAGCACAACTGAGTGTTCCTTGCATCCATTTAGTGTTATAACATCTACAAAGAAGAAAAAAAAAAAAGAGAGTAAATTATACATAAGTATGCAATGAAGCAAGAAGGTCATGCTAATGCTGGGAAAAATGGAAAGCAAGTCTGGCATGCTTAATGAAAAAAAGAACAGATGCTCCTAGCTCCAATCTCATCCACTGTCCAGTGCTGCGCTGAAGAAATGAATAGTGGCTTCAGCCACCTTGGCTATCTTCTTCCAGCTTAGGTGGCTTCCCCCATCTAAGTTGGTTCTCCCCTATTAGTTAATTATGTTGGCTTGCCTCATGGTATCAGAACTGACTCAAAAGAAGAGTAGAAGATTCCCTTTAGTAATTCCCATTACTAAAGGGAATTCAACTTCCAAGCTGAAACCTAGTGAATGGGTTTCTGCCAAACCTAATGGCATAGGAGAAACCCAGTGCAAATAGATACAAAGATAACACACAGTGCTAAGTAATATGAAATGTGAGTCTCTAAGGCGGAGCAGGCTGTATATAAGATAGTGTACAGATTTTCAGAATGCAGGAGGTACAATTTTACCAACATAATAGCAAATAATTTTATACCCTGAGAATTTCACTCATACACACAAAAAATATCATTGAAGTATATAGGCAGCAAAAGTCCATGGGTGAAAAGAGCTGTTAAATTCTTCAGGGATGAATTTTTTGACATGGGAAAAAAAAACTAGTGGCATAGAGTACTTTGCAAGCTGGGGGAACAGTGATACCAAAAGCAATGAAAACTCCCAACAAATTGCCAACATCTGTGGCATCTGAGCAGTTGGGGATCAGTTTTTGACCAATTTAAATACGCATTGAATCAAATGTCCACATTTGTGCAGTATCCCTGAAGAGGTTAAGTGGCTATCAGAGGAAGGAGAAAAGAGAGAGTGCTACTAAAGGAACAGGGCAGGAGTAAAGGAGAGAGAGGGGTTGGAAGAGATAAGGAAAAGAGAAACTGAAATAAAATGAGCCAATATCCCCACCACCACTAAAACTGGGTGATAGAATTCATTGATCCTTTCTCTAATGAAGAAAAAGAGCGCAATTTTAATGCCTCAAATACTACTTAAAAAACAAAATACTGGAAATAACAGATGAGGAAAAAAGTACCAGCAGCACGACCAGAGATGGCCCATGTAGTCTGATCACCAAGCACCTCATACATGAGAGATGTGTGAAGGGAGTCTGAGACCTTCTTCACCTCGATATGCATAGGACACAAGGTGCCTACACGGCAAAACTCTGAGCCCTTCCCAGGCATCACCCTCCCCTTCACTGCATAAAGAGTCTGAAAACAAATATCTGCATTACATATATATCTTCTGTAGAGTCAGGCTAGGAGAACTCTTAAAGACCACATCACCTGGTAATCGTGAATTTCAAATGAGTATTTGTAGGTTCTACTGCTGGTGGAGACATGGGGAGAGGCTTCCAGACTCTGATATGCAATGGAAAAGTGGAGTTTCAATGGAGATGGCATTTCATCCTCAGCAACACTCAGCTCCCATACATAGTAGCCATTCTGCTCTGTATTCACAACCTGCAAAACATGGTAAGGCTGTCACTTTGGTTGCAGTGATAATCATGTAGGCATCACAAACTTTCCCCAGTGAAAATCAATTAATCAATTCATAGCACCCTTTCTTCCTCATGATAGTTCACTTCTGTCAATACTATGAGTCACCAGGGGAATTGGGACACCTTGGACTCATGAAATTTTGAATCAGAGTGCATTCAACTTGGGTATAAGGGAATGGGACCAAGACTACCAGCTGATGATCAGAAGGATTGAGAGGCACCAGCTTGACTTTCTGTGCCTGGAGCTGATGGTTGGAGAGGAGGAAACGATGGGGACTGAGGCCATGCATTGTGACTTGAATGAACTTTTTCACATGTGCGCTCTGCAACTTCCACGTGGTCATAAATGGAGGCAGGAAATGGATAGGAAAAGCCTCTGTTCCATGCACCCAAGATATTGTTACCTGGAATGAGGTAAAGGAAATTTTATTTCCCATATTATACCCATTACTTTATATTTCAATATTGTGCTTACCTTGTGTTCAATTAGCGTATTGTCCTTTTGAGCAACAAGTTCTGCCAAGGCAGTTAATGCGATCACAGCAGTCTGAAAAGGAGCCATCTGTGGGCATGCAATCTTCAATTCCTTAAAGTCATCTTCTTTGCAGTCATCATCCCTCCATACGTATAATCCTCGTGAGCACTTCAAAATAATTTCTTCCCCCTGAATGCAAAAATGTTTTGTTAAAAGAATCATTGTAGAAAACTGTAGTAGCTCCATCAAACAAGGTTAACCTTGGAAATGTGTCGACTCCCACTCTTCACATTTAGGGTGATCTCTTGAGGAATCCCTGCTAAGGTGTCTCGAGTACCTTTGCTGAGGATGATGCATGGGAGTTCATCAGTGACCTCATAAGTCACCAGTGGTCGCTCAAGATTTGAGTAGACCAGGCACAGACGATTATGTCTTAGGCACAACTGAACTCCTTTGTAGTGACCTGGTAGGCCTGTCTGCAAAGGATTTAATGATGAATTTTGAAGTTCAGCATGCTCTAGCATGAGAGAGACAACTGAATTTTCATGTGTTCAACCTTGGCTGACAGAATGAAGAGATTCTGCCCAGGGTTGAGAGTGACATCAGATTCAGAAAGGGGAGCAAAGCCAGGTTCTGGTTTCATCAGGATTGGGTCTTTATGGATGGAATGATGGCTACTGTCCTTCCTCCTAGATATATACAGAAAAATGATGGTTATAGTATTACATATTACATGATGAAGACATCATGATTTATTGCATTATTATTAAGTTCAACTGAGTACCTGAAGATGTGGATGGTACACATTCAGCCTCTGATAACTCAACAGTTACATGACAGAAGATGCAGAAATTCTGATGGAACAGATGTCATCTACACAGAGAATTTCTAAGGAGCTTGTGCCTTCCTACATGCAGACTAGTAAGATAACAGACTGATAATTTTCCAGATGCTTTCTTGAGCACTCAGGTTTCTGGAAAATGGTGGATTAGGACAAATATTTATGTAGAATACATTGTTTGATTATGCCTATATGAGGACAACATAGTCACCATTATACTGGGTGGCAATAATAGATGGATGCCTGGCCAGAAGAGATGTGATGGACCACAAAATTATCCTATTCTAGAAGCCCATTTAGCTGGGTTTCTTTTCCACATTTCAGATTTCACTTTATTTTGCAGTTTGATGCACACTACACTGAATGATCCAGGTGTGGTGCATTGACTGCATATGAGCTATTCTTTTTGAGAGGCTAGTGATGTTAGAATGGCCAAGTGGAATTGTGACCCATTTCATAACGTACTGCACCTTCTCTGAATTGCTCAGGCTTAGAATAAAGCCACATAGCAAAATCAAGCAAACCTGTAACTTGGAAAAGGGCACACACTTAAATGGGCTACTGGAATAGGCTAACTATGAGCCTATTGTCCCTCATACCTCTGGTGGTCAGGGGAATGCATCTATTTAATCGCCACCAAGTAAAAACAATAGCTCACAATAATACAGCAGGTATTAGTGGCATTTACTATTTGCTTTGTAACATAGGATCATGCATCTCATTCCTCTTCTTTCTGTGATACAGTTTGAGTTAGAATTATAGGATATCTTTTATCAATTGAAGTACTTGACCACTGCTAGGTGGCATGCATGAGAATGACTTAGCTATTAAACTTATCCAATTTCATATTTGGTTGGTATGTGGTTCTGCTTAAATAAATTAATCTCATTCCCAAAGATGAAAACATCACAGAATCCAGTTACATAAAGTTAAAAGCATCTAGTTTATGCTGAAAAATGTATTTGAGGGTTGAATCTAGATACGTTCACAAGAAGTCCATTTCAATTAGTTCTTTAGCATCCCTTACAAACACTAGTACTTTTTAAAATTGCCTTAACCATCGTAGCTGAGAAGTACGCTACCTGAGGAGGACTTTGTGCGAGCTTTGGCATCCTATTGCAGCTACGCTGATGCTGCGGTCCAACTTGTATTCGATGGACTCAACCATGTCAAGAACCAACGATCCTACATTGGTAGATGTGACACCTGGACCTGAAGAGCTGGAAAGAGAACTGCTGTGTTCGTTGTCTGAACCACTTCCCAAGGAGTTTGGAACATTCATAGAGGCCTTGGAGGCAAGTCTCATTCGTGGCTTCCCACTGCTCTTAGGAGTTCCCTCAGTTGCCTCAACACGTTCATGTTTCAGCAAGAGTTCTACTTTCTCACAATCAATTGGATCACTCAAATGGCTTCGAACCCGAACTTCCACTTTAATCTCAGAGTTTGTCGTCAATCCACTGGAGCTTCCACATATTCTCATGGAATCCACACTGATGACCCCATCACATGATAGCACAGTGGCATCTAGAACAGATGGGCAGGAACAAGAATCACACATAAGCATTGGTTCTCAAAGATAATCAGATGAATGAGATCAACTTACCTCCACTTACACTATCCATCTTGACCTGTGATTCATGGAAGTACTTGGATCGAACTGGTATTGGAAGAGTGGCACAACTGGACAGCTGCAGGCAGGTTTTCACATACCTATTAAAGGATGAAATAAGCAGTATGCTTAATCAACTTGACAACAGTCCAGGGGAAAATTCTAAGCAAAGGGGTTTACAACCTGTCCCAATCCTGCAGTACTATGCAGCACTGTGCAATGTCTTCCAATGTCTGACAGCGCAAAGTAGGCCAGTCCTCTTCAGAGTACATTTTAAGGCCATCAAGGAGGAAGCTTAAGGCCTTGTGAGGCTCATCAAGCTTCAGATAGAAGGTGGATATATCACGACCGAGTAATCGAGCTGTCCTCATATGTCCTATATGCTTGAAGGTCCCCATGGCAAGTTCACAGAGTTCCTATTGAAAAGTTGTTTCAAATTATAAAGGACTTATTCAGAAGTAATTACATAAGCATTCTAAAAAAAATCAACGAGGTGCAGTCACAAAGTAATGCCTGTTTTGTTATAAAAAAAAAATTTATTAACAAAATATACACATCCAACTTTCCTACTTTTCAACATAATCTCCCCCTTTGTCCAAACATGCCTGCCACCACTCTCCCCACTTTTGAAAGCACTGGGTGAACTGTTCTTTGGGGGTATCAATTAATTAATGAAGCAGGCATAAGGAAGCACACATTCACTCATGCTCATGAACCAGGAGGGGGTCACACAGGACCAGGCAAAAGTTTGGGATTATTGAGGGAGGGTTACCAGTGCAGGCTTAATCCCTGGAGGGGAAAATGCATTGGCCTGACATGATTGCATGCTTTGCAGGGAATTTTGCCTTAACCATAAATGATGAACTTCATCTCACCAGGTAATGCTTGCGGAAGAGGTCAGATGAAGAGATAGCCTCTTTGAGTTTCAGAAGAGGCTTAGAGGATTCAACACTCTCACAAAGGCCACCAACAAGACTGACAACCAAATGAAGCTGAGATCTGGTTGGTTTCTGGTCTGGCATCAAACCACAGAGGTCTCCCAAACCATAAAGCTACAACAAACCAACAAAATTTTTTCCTTCAATTGTCAACAACAAAAATACATGTTAACTTTTACTCCAAGTCAAATTTCTACAACACAACCTGAAGAATTGAAATTGAAATTCAGGAAGCACACATAATAGGACTGTAATGTCAAGTTGAACAGGTGATCATGATAAATGCAGACCTTACCACCTAAGGCCTCTTGACACAATCATCTAGCACAACGTGGAATGTCTTGTGGAAGGGCACCATCCACAAGCATTGATAGCAAGTGCTGAGACCAATAATTCTAAGATTAGCTGCTTCTTGTGAGTGCTGAATTAATTTTCGTTTTATTTTTATCAGAGTAAATCAGTTTTTCAGTTTATACTGAACAAGTTATTATTTTTCACTGTCACTGTATCAAGTTCAGAAGTAAACTACTTTTTTCCTAATGGAAGAACTAGTCAGTCACCATTTAAATAAGATAAAACTTTTTTATGCAATGGAAGAACAGCTTCAACTGTACTTGCATAAACACAAAATGATTGCCATGAACAAACAAATACACATTACTTCTTCATATCATCTGAGGCTATTGCATCAAGTAGGACACAGCTGGAAAATTGCAGCAAAACTGTATTATGATCAGTATGACATTGCAGATGAATCACCTGGGTCCTAGCAAACTCCTGAAGAGGGGCAGTATGGCGAGAATATGCCTCAACTTGAGTTGCATCCTGGAACTTGGAGCAAACATCCAAGATCTCCATGACTGAGAGAAAGGCCCAACAATTGACAGCTCCTTGAGGCATACTCACATCCAGCACTTTCAATTCCCTCATACAGGAATGCAGGAAGGATAAGCTTCGTTGTGCAAGCTGGAAACAAATCCCACATTTCTCACACACAAGAACCACTACGTCAACCAACAATCAAGAATTATCTTGATGCCAGCAACTTGCCTCCCATGGGCGACAGAGGAGTAAAAGCAGAGAACACTGCCGTGCAAATAGGTAATTCCTCAGCTGTATGAGAGACACCTCCCTTAGCTTGACCTTCTTATGGATCACTTGACAAGCAGCCTTATCGAGACTCAGGCCATCCCACGAATGATATTCTCCGGAGAAGCATTCCAGCCACTTGGGAATTTCTGCTGTTGGAGATCCATGCAGTGAAGTTAGGACCACAACACTTCAGTCCATCACAAAGAGAGAAATCTCCATTGAATATTTTCTGCAAAAATACCACTACCATTAAGCTACCACTACCATGGCAGGCTGTCAGCAAAAATTTTAAAGCTGGAGCATACAGGAAAATGGTAGCTCCTATCAGTCTCTAAAAATAATTTCATAATATAGAAATTTACAATCGAGAATCACTGGCTATAACCTTTTTGAGAGAGTTTTCTACCAGTTCAAGGAACATATACTTTTGTAACTTTGCTCATATTGGCCTTCATTCACATCATTTAAATGTCCAGGCTGTAGGTCCTCTTAACCATGAGATATCCAGCCTCCAAATCCATAGCCAGCCTCATCAATAACTTCAATTTATATTTACAGACTGACATTCACTCCAGAATGCTTCTGTCTCACCAAAACATTAACATATACAGGGTGAGTCAAAACTCCAGTCTCATAGGGAACACGTATATTTACAAGAAGTGTTCAAATTGCATACCCATGAGGTAGTGACAGATGTCCAAGCAATGGAGGGGAGCTTTCCCTCATGCAACGGAGGGTGCTGGGTGTAATTGTAGCACATTCATTACACACATTGCATAAAAATTGTGTATTGAACAAAATATGGTCAGTCACCAAGAGACTGGACTTTTTGACTCACCCTGTACATCATCTGAGCAGAGTTGACTCAGCAAGTCAGTGGTCTACCTATTTCCTCCTAGTTGACTACTGTGGTCTATGTCAGACTCAAGGTGTGAGTAGATCTAACATTGATGTTACAATTGGAGTGTTTTGCAGGCTTAAGTCAAGGCTAGCTGGGATATATATTGTAAAGGCTGTTTGTAGGCTGCAAGGTTATTTCCTCAATTCAAAGTTGAATATTCCCTGGAAAAACAGTTACCCATACAAACCAAGAAAGCATGTCATGGTCTGTCTGACCCAATCACTCAATGGAATAGTTCTGGCTGGGCTACAGCTCAAAAGCAGATGTAAATCACCATGTTATCAAAATTTGCATGTGGGTACAATGCCAAAATGAGAAATGCTCAAAAAAAGTTTCATGGATTTGCAGACTTTTACCAAACTAGGTTAACATGTTCCCTCCTGACAAGTGATTTAATTGTTAGTTTTTGACACACAAATGAGTCATTGGCAACGAATGTGTAAACTATACTCTTCAATAAAAAAAAAAAAACATGAAGCATGTGCAGAACTGGGGAGTGAAATTAATCAAAACACAAGATACTAGAAGGTATCATAGGCATATGAGCCCATCCAAAGTATGACTGCAATTGCTGTCCATCTTTCAAATTCAAACTTTTACAAGCAGCAAGAAAAAAGCAAAACCAGGAAGAAGTTTTATGAGTTAACTAGAAGCCACCATGATCACAACCCAGAAAGCCTTAAAATCCAGCTCACATGGCTCTGGGGTCACAGCAGCCATGCAGCCTCTGTGAACCTGTCTTAGGTCAGCAATTAGGCTTACCTCCCACATTGACATTGATGATGAACTGGGAGAATAGAGCATCCAGCTCATCATACTGAACTAGAGCATCTTCATAAAGCCCCAGTAACTCATAGACAAATGCTAGCTCTTCTTGAAATGCAAAGTATGAGCAGAAGTCCCAGCTGACCTCAGTTCGCCTCTCTCTTCTTGCTGTGAACAGTTCCCAAAATGATTTAAAACCAAATGTCAAACAAGAACACAACTTTTAAGAAACATAAATAACTCAACCTCTCATTTCCTCTTCATATCGACTCAGCGACTTGTTGTAGGCTGAAAGCACCAGATGCCTGAGTCGAGCAAGAAGCATATGCCATGACTCTGATGCTCTGGAGTCTCCCTTGAAGGGATCATGTACTGAGATGCATCTGTCAGAAGAAAATTTCATGGAAACAAAAATGCCATGAATACCATAATGGGCCATCAATTACTTCTAAATTAAGATGATAGTGACACTGCCCTTACCGGTCAACTTGCTTATGTGAGTAATCACTCCTAATCTTGTCTATAACTGTGGCTCGAGGTAGCAGTTTATTTCCTTTCTTTGCATCAACACTCTCTACACTCACGATCAAATACTCAGAAATCCCATGGGCTTTGAGTGCATTAGCCCATTCTCCAATTTCATCCTTCACTGTAGTCCTATACTGCTCCAAGTCCTACATAGATCACAAAAGCATTCAAGAACATCATTTCCAAAATATAGAAGCTGGAAAAAATTTTTTAAAGGGGCTAGTTGAGTCACTCACAACACAATCTGTCCAAAAGGTATGTAGAATGGGAACGCCAATCAAGCGTTCAGGTTTTTCTGGAGGCAGGACCTCAATGGAGAATGCAACAAATTCTGCCTCAACACAAACAGGTTTGGCAACTCGACCATATGAACGGCGCCATTCATAAGGCTCTTGAGGCAGACCCTCAACCAGGCTTCTTTGCAAACTACGGAACAAGGACACATCTCCGGCATCTAGAACACATCAAGAAATTCAATAATAGAAACCCAGTTTCCTCAAGCTTGAGTGACATGAACATGAATACAAGCCAAATCCTTTGGCTAATATTTTCCTTGGGTCTGAGGAGGATATGAATCAGTTATATCAGTCTAGCAATGTGAGAAAAAAATTAATGATATACTTTAGCAGAAACCACAAAGAAATATCTCCAGACCAAACCAAACCACAGAGACTTTCCAAATCATAAAGCTAAGACAATGCAGCAAAAAGTTTTCCAATTCAATTAAAGATAACAACTGGAGTAATGTACATCACAGCTCCATAACATGTACAGCCTAAAGAACTGGAATTCAAAATTCACACATTCAGAGATTGTGGTGTCAAGTTGAACAGGTGATCAAGAAAATTGTAGACCTTGTCACCTAAGGCCTCTTGACCCTGTTATCTAGCACTCAGTGGAATGTCTTGAGGAAGTGCATTGCCCACAAGCATTGATAGCGAGTGCTGAGCTCAATAACTATAGGATTGTTGCTTAGTGCTACCTTGCAAAACAACAATTTTAGGAGGGAATTTAGGAAAAAATATGTTCTGGATTTCATATAATTAGTTATTGGGACACCCTGTTATCCAAACATGAATTGATGGAGAAAAAAAATTTACTTGGAAACAATATTTATTTTTTTTTAAATATAATCAGTTGAACACCTGGCATTATTTAAAAAAACTAATTTATTTATCAAGAAGCAAATTTTCTGATGATCCTGTAATCACCAATGAAATGTACTTCATTACTAAAAATGTGCATAATGGAGGGAGAATATTTAGGGCTTGAGCAACTGCTTTCAGGAGTAAAAAGAAAAGGTTAGTGGTTATTATACTGAGCTGCTCCTGCATCTAGAGACTGCAAGAACATATGACACATTCTTGAATGATATCATTCTCCCACACCAATAGGCCCTACCTGATACGACTGACAATACAGTTACAAATCTGGAAGCCTTCTCAATGTATCTCATTTTCGTGCTTGTTGCTGGTGTCATTGTCTCAGTCAAAGTTTTGCTTCATCTACAACCAAAATACCACCAATAATCAACAGAATCTTTCTGGTAGATACCAGGGTGCAACAAGCCCAAAATAACATTTTTTTCCACTGCTGTCCAGTATGACCTTCCCACATTACAATAACACTGTGGGGGGGGGTTTTGAGAGTTTTTGTTTGTATACTACTACAAGTGTATGTCCATTTCATACATTTGCATGTATGAAATGGACATACACTTATAGTAGTATATACCCTTTAAAGCACAAAGAATAATTCTAATATACCCTGACTTTTGTTTTTAGAAAAGGCTTTTTTTCTGCCAACAATCCAAAGGTTTCTAGATTAAACTTTAACTCACATGTGATGATTGGTCGAGACTCCATGTTGGGGAAAGATTAGCAGATCACTGAAGTTTGAATGTGTTCCAAGTTCCAAGGTATTCCTCACAAATCTAAAGACAGGAATCAGGCATAAGTAACCCAGTTGCTCCCATCCTCAGGCCTGAGTTTTCCAATGATCAAAAGCACAATGTCAACAATCCACCAGATCCCAGCACCACCAAGAGTCAAGAGCTTCCCAACAGCAGTGCCTGTCTGTCCAAGGCAAAACCGGTCCATGCCCAGGAAGCCCAGCAAAATACTGTAGATCAATGTCGTCGTGAAATACTGCCCGTTGTACTTGATGCAGGGGAAGCCTTCACGCCGGAAGTCCCTCTCCCCATAGCATTCAATATCAGGCAGAACCCTGCAGCGCACAGATGTGTGTTCTACCTCCTCAAAGCGATAACCACCAAACTTCACACAACCATAACCCAACTCTTCTTTCAATGTGTCGTTGCCATGCAGGTCTTCTGGTTCATCACAGTCCAGGAATTCAAAGGGGAGGTAGGAGCAGTTCACAAGTGGCGAACGTGGATCAAACACTCTTCCACAGGAGATATCAAAGCATTCATCAGAATGATTCTGAGTCCCTGCAGGTGCACTACTACTACTGCTGCCAGAAGTTCCCCCACTCAATGCTACAGCTGATGTGATGAGTACAATCTGAGAGATAAGAGCCACTGACACAACAGTCCATCTGATATGTTTATCGCCAGCAACTATCACCATGGCTCACCATGGCTGGCCTTCTAGGACCAAGTGCCTGGAAAAGTAGGCACATATCAGTTTGCAATTTGGAACATTCACTTCAACATCCATTTCCCTTGATTCAATTAAATGTATCACAATACAGGATCAGTACAGTAATACTAAGGCACCATGATGAGAACAATAAAATCAAGGATGGCTACTGAGCAGAGTATTCATAACATTTTCTGCTTTGTAGTAAGTGTAAAAGAAACTAAGAAAACATAATGGGATAGGGAATCAGTGGAGGAACACACTACTTGGGGCTGAATTGCTCCTAGAAAAGCTCAATTGAGCCTTCTAATGTGGAATTTTCATTTCATCACTAACAATAAGAAAAACAACATGATGTGATTTTTTTCTGAGGAGCATCAAAATTCATTTTTGACAGTTACTGAAAACAAGAATGCAATGACCACATCCACAACAACAGTTGAGGGAAAAAATCCAGAAGAGTAGCCAATCACTTCTTTCTGCCACCTCTCTCCTTCAACTGCAGGTTGATCAAGGAGCCAGTACTGATATTGTAGAAGGCCAGTGTGTTGGAATCTTTGAAGAAGAGTCCCTGAATAAACAAGAAGGTACATAATTAACTAAATATTGAACATGGCTCTTGTTATGGATGGTTCTCATGAATGAGGAACTAACCTCCCACTGAAGCTTCTGCTTGCCAGGAGGAAGCCCTGTTTCTTCATGAAGCTTTGCCTTAATGACTGAGATAGTGTCATTGGGAGGCAGGGTGATTGTTATCACCTGACCATGGAGCCGCCACTCTTGCTTGTCAGAAACTACTGGAGTCTGCACACTAAATGTCACTGGACCCTACAGAGAAAAGGCATGTAGAAGAGAACCATTTAGCAAAACAGCCACATTTGGTAAAAGGAGACTTGAAGAGGTTTCAATCTGGGTACTAACAGGATTCATGGCAAAGAATTCATGTTCTGGAATGAGTGACTCTTCAGTGCGTTGCTTCTTTGATGGTGGTCCTTCATCCTCCATCTGAGGAACCTGCTCGGTCACAGTGGATGGAGGAGCTGGTGCTGGTGGTCCAGGCATTCCTCCCACAGATTGAGAATGGGGTGGGGCAAGGCCAGGGGCATAACCTGTCATCTGGGTTGCCATAGGATGACCAGGAGCAAATCCTAGGAGAAGGACAATATTATGCTATACTGCTTGTGAAGAAAGAACGGAAACAGGAACAGCATGAACGAGTGCAAATCCAATTCCATTCAATTAAGATCTTACAAATTGACAATACAGGGATGTAAAATAAGTATGGGCAGTCTAAACTGAGATGGTACAAGTCCAATTACACATGAAATTTAATGTCAATATGAAGCATTCAAATCCAGTGCACATCATAAAGGAGATCCTAGGACAGAGAGCTCCTTTTCCACAAGTGTGAAATGCTACTCATTTCTGCACTTTGAGAGCATAATCCACTAGTAGTCATGGCTAGGTTCAACTTTTTCATCATTTTAAGGTGGGGGTAAGTTGAATCATGAATATCAAGTGCCTGTATGTAATGAATGGACATAATCTCAGCATGATTGGTTCCCCATGGCTGTAATGAAAGGGAGAATAAGAATTTTGATGCTTCTTTGAGAAAGCAAGAATCTACCCTTTTCCAGACTAAAGAATCATAATGGAGGAATGTTTGCTTTTGCACTGAGGAACAGGGTATCTTAGTTCATTGATGCAATGTTAACATTTATCATTTAGTACTTTACACTAGAAAAATGACAATTCTCATTCTTCCAAAAATTTCAGAAAACAACTGCAGTGAGGGTCATTAACTGAAGTCTCTTGTATTTGAAAGGGGGTCTATTATTGGACAGGGTGAACCCAACTTGTTAGTTCTATTGAGGAACAAAAGCCATTACCATGACTGAAACATAGCATAGCACGCCTTACCAACAACAGGTTGTAACTGATGGCCCATATGAGGCATCATCATGATGCCCTGAGGAGGCATGAGGGTTCCATGATGAATAGGCATAGCAGCCATCTGAATATGAGGGACAGGTGGAGCTGGAGCCACTGCAGACATGGGCTTTGGTGCTCCTATTGTCACAATAGGAGTAGTGACAACAGATGGACGTGGCTGAGCTGGCTGAGGGGGTGCAGAGATGGTCACCGATGATCCCATGCCAGGGGTTGGCATAGGTGGAGCAGTTGCTTCCATTGGTTTGGGGACTTGAGGCCTTTCATCAGCCTGTGATGATGGCTGTGGTCCAATCCTCTCCTTGGTCTCATCTTGTACAAGACCCTTCGATTTGTGAATCTGAGCTATCTGCTCCTCAATACTAATGTTTGCTCGGGCTGCTCGCGTTGCCTGTTCCATACTCCCCGTGTGACCATCCCAAATGACCTGAGGACAGGTAAAAATGTAACTGTCACAAGCCCAAGATTTATATCTAAAAAATACTATTGGGCTTTTGCCTAACTGCAACTCACCCGGTCATCCTTCTTGGTTTCCTCCTCTCCTATTTTCTTACCAATTTGCGTTTCCTCATCACCAACACCGAAAATGTCAGTACGGCGCTCAGCGAGCTGTTTGAGACTGCTCTCAATTGCAACACCTGATCAGTCAAATATGCATAGAATATAGTAAAATTTTTACCTTGCAAAAGAAATTGTGTTATTTTGAGAACCAAATGCCAAACTCACCAGGAGCAAACACAGATTCTTGATTCACCTTCTCCTGGACCATGCGATCTCTCTCTTCCAACCAGCGAGGATCAAGGAGACCTATCCGCATGTGCTCTTGTACTTTGGATGCAGGGATTCTTTCTCCAGTCAAAGGAGACACTAAATATGTCTCCCCAGCTCTCTCTGACATCTGCTTTGCTATTAATAAAAAAAAGGGATTCTCAATGAGTATGCACTTCCTAATCTGAAGGTCATAGTAGGCAACAGAAAGAAGGGTATTATTTTCACCAATGGGCCATTGGGCCCCCACTGATTTCAATAAGAAGCAAATGATTCAAAAGCTCTTTAGATACTGAACACCAAAGTGTTTAGAGCAATTTAAAAAAATTTATACTTTTCAAGTTGTGAAGTTATTATAATCGTCATATATATATATATATTTTTTATGAATTGTTTCCAAGTTTTCTGGGGTTCTCAGCCATAACATTACCCACCTCCACCACATGGATGTAAGCCTGTAGGGAGGATAAAATTTATATAAATAAATAAATTTAAGGATTTTAAAAGAAATTAATGAAGTGTACCTCCAGATAGAAATAAGGTCTGAAATAGACATTTAACTTTCAATATAGCAATTGTACTCTTGGGTGCCTAAATCAGGCATAGGTATTCCCATTCCAGCTGGGTTCACAACTTTCTTTTTTGGAATTGTCTAAAGGAAGAAGTTGAGTTGGGTTGCACAGAACACAAACTCCATGTCTGTTGCCTCCCCAGTGTCATGCAGAGACCTCTTCTGTGGTGATGATCTCATTTTACTTAATGAGATCTTTCTAATGATAAATATATCATAGGGGATTTGACCTCATTATTTTTTAATTGGTGAATCCCATCAATAATCATTTGTAGCTTACGGCTTGAAAATGGAATGAGATAGACTTTAAGTAGTAATATATATTTCTGAAACAATGAATTGAGATTTTACCCATGATAACAACGTTAAAAGGGCCCAGTACCCTCCTTTCTTTTTCCACCCATAGAGGTAGTGGAGAGAAAACCAAGCAAACCTTTAGGATCATAATTCTTCTTGATGACAACTTTATCTGGCAAAGGTGGAGGAGGAGGAAGTTGTAGACCAGTTGAGGAACGACCAAGAGTTGGCTGGCCTGAATCTTCCTCATCTGATTCTTCCATATCATCTCCCTAGAAAGAAATAACAAATGGTGACCAGGGTGGTTCGCAACATATGAGAAGATTACATGATGAATAAGTGAAGTAAATGAGGAAACCCCATCACATCTACATGATGCCAAAATGGCAATGACATTTGATCCCAATTCGTAATTACCAGTACTCTGGCCGTGCCAATCCCAGAAAGGGATCGCTTAGAATTGCTAAATGATGTAAAGGCTTACTCCAGGTGGAGCAGGCTGCCTCCCTCTCTCTGGTGGTCTTGCCTCTGGTTCCTCTTCACCTTCAGACTCTATTTGCATATCAACCTCTTCTCCCTCCTCAGCAGCAGCATGTGCTTCCTCTGATTCCCCATGTAAGTCTACCTCCAAGTCTCCAACAGCAATCCGCTCCTGCAGAAGAACTCGTGAGCCAACCTCTTCAGGAGTTGTAGGAGCTGGAAAGGTTCCTGTTTCCCATGGCTGATAGTCAACAGTCTCCACAACCACAAAGTCATGCCAATCGATCTGAGCGTATGCAACTGCAAGAAACATTCACAAGTCAGGTTAGAAGATAACCAGCAAATTGATGAATTGGGGTCATCCTGGACAAAGTCTAATGTGACATACCTCTTTCTCTCTCCAACTCTTGCTCAGCTTTGTTTTTCTGTGCCTCTTGATACTTGATCCATTCAGCACGATACTTCACTTGCTCCAGTATACTTTTGACATCCTGGGACTCTTCACGAAGACGTTTCATCAAGTCCTTTGGTGGGATCAAGATCTATGGGAAAGAATCACATTTGAATTTTCAACATCGAAACTACTGCATTTAGAGGGAAGGATTGCTGAGTTTACCTTAGTATACTGCTCAAGGAGTCGAGTGAAATACTGAAAGAGAGAATGCTGTGGTCGGAGAAAGTCAAACTGATAATTTCTGGACTCTCGATTCATCAGGTTAGTTAGAAACTGCCGACCATTGCGAGCAACAAACTGTGATGTCAGTCTCACCACATTCCTATTGAAAAGGAAGCCAATACACTGTGATGTAATACTTTTCCATCTTTCAAACTAGAGATGAAACCACAATCTAAATATAGGACTCACAGGTCAAAGCCAGAGATTGATGGAACATCTGCAATGAATTCATACTCAGGTGGGGGATCCTTAGGGACAAAGATTGGTTCCACTCTCAGCAAGATTTCAGCCTGTTGCTTGCTTGATATTGCTTTTGCTCCACCAGGAACTTGGGGAGCAGCAGGCTCACTTCCTGCACATTGCAATGATGCACTTTATTGGAAGGCCTTTAGAAATTAGGCCTATACTTTCACAACAGCATTAAAAATAATCTAAAAAATGGTACTATAGTTATGAAGAAATAGGGAATGTATATCTTTTAAACCATTGGAAAATAAAAGCAATTAAGGTTCTATGTGCATAGTTGGAAGGCCTTGTAATCATTGGCATTTGAGTTGAGGTTGGGCATTCAGCACCTGTTCTCTTTTAAGATAAGTTGATTGCCTACATAATGCAAAATTAGATTGGATAGAGGATATTTGTCTAATGTTTACCCATGTATATGGCCCAGGATCAAGTTATATTATAAATGAAGACATCTAGACATCAATGGACAGAGAAGCTACATAATCACTTAATCAAGTACACATGCTCAAAAATCAGGAAGTAATAAAAATTTTAATCACAATTAGTTTTACTTGCGGTTGATAAAATGTAACCAATTCCTTTTTAACTTCCTGTTCAAACCAAGTTGGAACTAATTCACATTGCCTGAGTGAGATAGACTTAACCATAACAAACCTTTTTCCAAGTTAATAAAGCCCTAACAATTCAAATTCCATTCACATGCAAATTCTGATGCTTCTCTAATTTTTTATTACATCTAGACTCTGAACCCACTCCATTGCTGATAACTCTATCTTTCAGGGCACTTTCCTCAAAAAGAAGCTTTTTCAATGCTATAAATAACAGGATCAATATCCACCTGTGTCAATGACACATTAGGAAGTTGCAAGCAATTATCTGAATAATAACTTCAAGGGACGATGGTCTTTTAACCCTAGCAATACAAAGGGGAAGGCCTAAAAGGCCCCCACTTGTCTTTCTTCAAATGTCAAAATTAAATTATCAGTCTAGTTTGTAACAAGAAACATATATTTCATACTCCTATTATGATGTGTAGAATATCATGTCTGAAATGTGAAATTGTAGTTATTAACTAATTTTGAACATTGGGGCCTCTGAGGTCCCCACTTGATACTCCGGAACAAAAATAAGCTTGGTATTGCTAGGGTTCGAGGTCTGTTGATGAATATGTAAAGGTCCTGGAGTAGAAACACTTGCTGTGCAAGCTCATCCTGACATTTGGATATGTCACACAGTTATAAGAGAGCAATAAATATTTTTAAATATTTAAACTGTAGTCATCAACAAGTGCAACTTGTACCATAGCTAAGCAACAAGCAAAAATTAAAATAACTAGAATCCTATATTGAGGGACTGTAGTGTCAAGTTGAACAGGTGATCAAGAAAAATGCAAACCTTACCACCTAAGGCCTCTTGACACAGTCATCTAGCACTTAGTGGAATGTCTTGTGGAAGGGCATTACCCACAAGCATTGATAGCAAGTGCTGAGCTAAAAAGTTTCATGCTGTCTTTCAATGGCTAAGCAAAAAACAATTTCAGAAAAAAAGTTTTTAATTTCATATAATGTTCATTTATACTTTAAACTGCAGAACAATTACCAAGATAAAGCTTAAGATGCAGGTACTGTCACCAAATTTTGACAACACATTCAAGTAAAATGTCTTTCACTTAAAATGACTCCTAAATCCCTTTCCTTATTTGCCTCAGCAAAAATATCATTGCCACAAGCATTCAGAGAGCAGTCCCAAATATTGTCAATATGATGACATTTATACTTCATCAAACGTCACTAGCCATGATTTATGCTGTTCTCCTCGTCACTCACCATACTACCCCATTTCTCTCCTACAATGGAGTAGAATACTTTTGTAAAGGTCTCAAAATGTACTTTGGTAATCTTGTTCTTACACTCCATCACAAGGTTCATCTCCACAAGATAAAGAAGCAGCTTGAGGATTAAGTACTGTTCAGTGTTGCTAAGTACAACACTTAACTTTGGAAGATACTTCTCCATTCCATGCTAATCAGTTCTCTACTCCCTTCCTGATGACCAGATTGTTTTGGTTCTTTAAGAGTCACTTACCCCATGAGTAGAATACATAACCTAGGTAAGACAAAAGGGATAAATACCAGACAAAAAAAAGAATCCATTCAAAGAACTTGAAACAGAGTAACTGACCTTTGCCCTCCTTGAATTCCTTGACCTTGTGCTCATAATATGCATGATATGGATCTCCACTACCAAGGAAATTGAACTTTGGGTTGTTGATCTCATTCTGTTGGATTCTAGCTTCAAATTCAGGTCCATTTCTTGCAACAAAACTTGCAGTCTTGTCAACAATATCTACAAAGGAGTTAAGTCTTCTAACCAGGCCTGTGCCTAAACCTATTATACTGTATACATGACATGTGTGATATATTTCACTTTTAGCAGGCCTTTTTCAGGGACAAAAGTCAAACCAAAATTCTATTAGCTGAGCCTAATGGGCCCAAATTCATTAGTACACCCAATAAGGGAGATGACTCCTATGGAAATTTATCTGACTTCAGCCACAAGCTTATTTCAGTCAAGCAACTTTTCAAAAATATAGGGTATAATGGTGAGAGAATTCATGAAGATGGCAGATATGCTCATTGGCATTGAATTGGGCCTAACTATAGTCAGATATTGAGTAGCACTTGCAGCCAAATACTCTTGGTATAATCTGGAGCCACCAATGATAGGCAGTTCCTGGTTCTGATAACTGCATCTCAACCATTGCAATAACGTGGATAAGTTACTTATAAAACTGATACTTTACCAATAAATTAATAGCACACAATAATAAATTACAGATCACTGTTACACTTCAATTCCAGCTCTGCATGGCTTCCTTCAATTGCATAAAGCTTTGGGAGCAAAATAGGACTAAGAAGACAGACAGAAGTCTCTTGCATAGGGAACAATCAATGTTATGCACTAGATTAAGGGCCTGTTCACATGACTTCATGTCATGTTTGAAGCGAGTCATTACTCCTACTGGAGAAGGTCCTGCCCTACAGGGTAGGTAAAAAGTCCCTTCAAAATGCAAAAAAAACTTTGTTCTTTTGTTTTTGTAGGTGATCAACATATGATAAAAGTTTATGGGGGCTCATCAAAAGACATGCATCAAAACAGCATTATCAGATAGATGACCAACTCAAAACAGCAGTCTCAGCAGCTTTTTTGATAACTAAACAACAAATTGAAAAGATGGCTAAGAAAACATGGTACTGCATTGAGTTATGCCATGACAATGATAGGCTGTGCACTGATATTTTGGATCCCTCATTACATTTGAATAAATAATTTTTTCTTTGTTTCAGATTAGGTTATTTACTATCATTTAAATTTGTCATTGAAGGAACTTTGAGCCCACCCTGTATATGGGATGCAATCCTTGCCTAAGCATAAGCCTACTCAAACATTAATGTAAATAAGTTACAATACCACACCATAAAAGGATACTCCTCACTTCAGGAGGTGGATAAATAATTCCAATAATTGGTTTAGATGTGGTCCCAGTTGGGGGATCATTTTCTCCTTCTTGTGTGTCTTCAGGTTTTTCCTCAGGGACACTCACAGGCTCTATTGGTGTTTCCACAATAGCAGGCATCGTCTGGGGTTCACTGGTGAAGATGCAACACTAGGCCCTTGGGCCTAGACCTACAGTAAACACATCTGACATTAAGTAAGGCCATACATGCACTCAAGAAGTATTTCCAGCTCATACACAAATCACTACTTTGCACTACTCATAAGGCTTTCTGTAAGTCACCACAGCTCCTTACATATAGCCTATCACAAGAAATCAATGTGACATTTAATATAGAATATCAAGATGAATTCAACATTTTCACTGCAGCATAAGTCACCAGTGACTCATACAGAGTTCATTATACCTATAGGGATATTGGTCCTCCAGTGAACAAAGTAAGTCACACAATATGGTTGCATGTACTCTCTTCCAACCCTCAGTGTTCCCAACAGATTATTTTGTACTACTGCTGCTTACTCACTTCTCACCTAACATTAAAAATCTGCCACTTTAAAACCAATATGTAACAGGAGAAAAGGAAAAAAAGCTCATGAATTGAGAACAAATATTGAACAATTTCATAGTGGAAACCATTAATGAGGTGGGTCCAAACCTCTGCACCAATAAACATCTGCAGGGTTATGAATGACAGCCAGCAAAAGGTTTTAGATGCAGTGGTAAATGCACTTCATCAAAGAGACATATCATGTGTTCAGCAGCACTCAAGCATAAAGCTTTGTATACTAGACAAGACTGTCACATGTACATACACCAAGTAGTATAGGTGCATATTTCAAATTTGAGTGTGTCTTGGCCATTTCAGTGGCACCCTTGCATAGCTACAGATAAAACTTTCATGCTTGCATATTGCTCCTAAAATGAAACGGCCAACACAGACAATTTGCATAGATAATCTATATTTCAAGACCTCTAACTAGTTATTACCATGCAAAACTACTCAAAATACCATATATTGTGTGGGTTAGTTCACGTGCCAAAAGGGGCTCTTGGGCATTTAAGTTCAACATCACTCTGGAAAATTATTTAACCTTCTACATGAAGATAACTTGAACTCTTCAGCCACTGATGAACTCTTAGTTTATTTTACCAGAGAAAATTAAAAGAGAAGAACAATAACTTTCAGAAAGTTGCTTTCAATTCACCTAGCACTTCACTAAGTCACTGAAGTAAAAAAATAAAAGTCAATATATACTGCCAAATTAATATACAAGGAAAAACAATTTCAACAATATTTGATTTGATCTTAAATTTATGCATTTTATTTTCCTCTCCATAATCATCACATGTTCTTTCCTTTGAAGTGAAAATACCTCTAATCTAAACTTATGCACTAAATTGATGTCTTCAGATGTCCATCCTTTAACCACATAGAAATAGTAAAGAAAAATTGCCCCAATCTCATACAGAAATCTCACTTGCATCACAGCATTAGCATACAGAAGTTGCAACATAAAAGAACAGTTTTAATACAGAATCAATGTTCCTACTACATTTACAAAGTTCAACATATGGAATTTATTTTCACATAAGGACTTTTTGACATTTTAGGAAATGCTGAAAGACATGCAATAACACTTGAAAGTAAGCTACTCTCTGAAATTGAAATTGTCACTTCATTGGGCCTATGATAGGAAAAATGAAAGGATCATGCAATGGAACCTCTAAACCTTTTGATTTTTTGGCATTAGGAATAGAGTTTCCTAAGATGCCCTTGGTTCTGGCTGACTGACACTGAATACTTACAATACATTTGAAAGTAATGAAAATGTACTCTTTTACATGATCACACTTAAACATGCAGACCATTATTTTAAAAATATAGAGGGATGCTTTTCCTTGAAAAATTAGCCATTCAACCTTTACATGCCAGGGTGATCTGTAGGCTCTGAGAAGACTCATTTTCCTAGATATTCCTCAACATTAGGGTTTCTGTAGACATTGTAATGGCATAGACCAGTGTATAACATATTTCATGTTCTCCTTTCTTCATCCTCTCTTTTCTGAGAACAGCAGAAACCAATTTTCACTAACCAATGCAAGACACAATTCAACACCTTATAGCCCACAAGACTAGGTCTTGGCTTACAGGCTTTCCTCAGTTGAGCTTGACGCTGACTGATACGCTAAGATGTCAGCGACTACTGAAACATGAACTGCAACTGAAGAACTTTCCAGGGCTTAACGTAAAGCCGAGGACTCTGAAATTAATGTATATGCCAAGCACTTTTCACAGTACAGAGCAACATTTCGCCTCGTAGGATTACTCGCCGAGCATGGAGTAAGTTGCTGCTAGAACATGCGAGAAGGCGACTCCCATGTGACGCGATGGTTCCATATGAGGCTCAGAAACCCGTTCACATGGGGGAGTATCTGGCCGATGGCCTATCAATGAGCGTAAAACATAAAGCGTAGCTAACATTTAGGATTTGGCTTGCACATTGTTCTATCAAATAACGAATTGTAAACTAGGGCTCAGATGACCGCCGCCATTTTGCAAGTCGCGTGGCTGTCGGTGCTGGGGCCGTTTCACACTGCGTCCTATGCGCGTTACAAAAGGGATTTAGTGATGAAGTGACATGCGGGTCTGCACTCATCACTTAAGTTCGCGCACAAAGCAACACGCGTGCGCATGCACGCCCATATGCTATCGCAGGTAAAGAGGAAACACCAAGCTCACATTTCAAATTGGGTTTCGTCGAATTGCGAACATCAGCACGCACTTTTCCTTCGTGCTTGCATTTCTTCCTAAGCACATGCGTTCGTACTCGCGTGCATTCCCTGCGAATGCAAATAGCATGCATGCAAACGTATGCGTTCTTGCGTGTGAACGAATGTCAGGCAAGGATGGGAAGTGCGAAATGGAAAATTAAGATGGCTATCGCGCGAGAGGATTCCTTACCTGGTCTAAATGAGAGATGCTATCGCAGCCTCCGGTGGATAGCGTTCCCACAATAGTAGTCCCTGACAAGGACTGTCAAACTCATTCTTTCAGAGATTATACAAATTGTCTATCTGGAAGATTCTTGTCAGGTGGACGAGTTCAAGTATGGTTCAAGTGCACAGAATCACAAAGGACACCACGGCACGAAACCTGAGTCATGGAGACAACACCAAGGACGAGATTCACGATAGCGGTGCAGGATCGAAAGGCTGAAACCTCCTACTCATCGCCTCAGCTGTCATCAATCCATCCACGTTGACGAATGACGAGCTTACGCCAGGACCAGCCCCAGTTATTTCGGCGCCCTGTGAGAGAGACTTCCAACGCCCCCCCCCCCCCCCCCCCCCCC